TCTTTTAGTTTAAAACCATTCTCCCTTGTTCTCTCAATTGGCCCTGCTAATAGATATGTCCCCATCTTTCTTCTAAGCCCCTTCAAATATTGAAAGGTCCCCTTGGAGACCTTGCCCTTCTGCAAGCTAAACAAGCCCAATTCTCACAGCCATTCCTCAGAGGAGAGCTCCCACCTTCTGGTCATTGCTGAGGCCCCCTTTTGCTCTCGGCTGCTGTTTTCAGGTTTAGCTGGTAGCAAAGGAACTGAAGTACAGCAGTGCTGGGGAAGGAGGCCTGCAGTGGGGCTTGAAGAACACAACAAAAGCACTCCCTGCCAAGCGCTTCTAGATTGGTCTGTGGGAAGGTGGGGCCTTTGCGGGGGCTGACTGAGCATCCAAGGGCATCCAGTTTGTCCTTCCTGCCCCACTCTTAGAGGCTTCTGCCAGCCAAAGAGAGACAGCTGAGCAGGATTTGTGCCAGCCTCACGTGCTGCCTGGCCCGCTCCAGTAGATGAGAACCACTGCAGCTTTGCTGCCACCTTTTGTGGCAGACAGGCAGCTGGCGACCGCGCCACTTCCTTGGCTCTCCCTGCTGTGAAGGAAGATGCCAGCCAGGCCAGGAGGAGGGGGGCATGCCAAGGCAGACACTGCTCTCCTTGCAAGCCAGAGCTGAGTCCATCTGCACTCTGCCCCTTCTGTCGGTGTGTTTCTGGGCCCTAGAAGAACCCAGTTTGACCCTGTTAGAAACTCAGTTGGAGAATAATGGTTCCTTTTCCCAAGGGAAAGAAACCAAAGCAACCATTTAATTTGGTTGCTTTAGTTTCTTTTTCCCTTTGGGCAGCATCCATTTCTCAAGCTAGCGGAGCCTCTCTTCAGCCTCCTCTGAGAGCCTGATTGCTGTCATCCCTGCAGCAAAGTAATGCAGGAAGCAGAGGAGATGACAAGGACCGCTTCAGCACAAAGAGAACGGAGCCTCTGAGAACAGGCAGGAATCCTGAGGAGAGAGAGCCCAGCAAACAGGCAGACTGAGACAGAGTGGAAAAAGAAGGTGCCACCTCCTGTTCTCCCATCTGCTGGTCCTCCTTCTGATTTTCTTCTTAGGACAGCATAGCTGGAGGCCACAAAGTCACTAGTGATGTGCAGATTTGAGCAAGGCAGGAGTGGCATTGTAGGTGTGAAGGGAATGGGAAGGCCAGAGCTGTGTCTCAGGAGGAGGGAGCTCCCACAGGATGCCACCGGCAGAGCCAGGCTAGAGCTGTGGGAGACGGCTGGATGTTCCCAGCTGCGGAGGAGGTGCCTGAAGGTGCTGGGAACATCCTGTGCATTCTTTATCCAATTGAATAATGTACTGTTTGTGTGCCTTTATATACAGCTAACCGAAAACAAGCAATCGAAGCCCTGTCCCTGACAGTCCTCCTAGGATTCTGCTTCACCACCCTACAATACATGGAATACTATCAATTACCCTTTTCCATTGCTGACAGAGTCTTTGGCTCAACATTCTTTGTTGCTTCCAGATTCCAAGGCCTACACATAATTATCGGCTCTATATTTCTACTAGTATGCCTCATAAACCTGATTAAGTACCACTTCACATTAAAGCCTAGGCCTCGCTTTGGTGTCAGAGAGACATTCTCGACTCCCTACAGGAGCCAGTGTTGTGCTTGGAGGCAGCCAGGGAGCATTTTGGGGCACTCCTTTTGTCTTTGAGGGCAGCTGGGTGTGGGTGGCCTTTGCCTGAGGTTCCATGTGAGCTAAAGGCAAAAGCAGGGATTGTTTCCTGAGCAGCAGAAGGCTGCAACCTAGCCAATGACTGAGTCAGCTTGTGTGTGCTGGTCTGGCCATATTGATCATAGTAGTTGGCTTCCTAGATTGCCTTTGGACTGCATTTGGAGACAAAAGACTTCAGAGAAATTGTTTGGCTGTGGGGCTGGTTTCATACTGGTGTTGTATCATGACTGCTATTGCTTCTATTATTCCTCCGAAAGATCACATGGGCCCCCACCATGGAACTCTCCACTTGAGTTGCTTTTCAAATGAAAAGGAAGAAAACATGCGGTGAATCAATCGGAGAAGTGGAGCACATGACCAGGAGCACTTCAGGGTTACTTTCTCCAATGCCTGCTCAGAACCAGCGTCAAAATAAAAATCCTAGACACCCTCAAGTCAGTTGGAGGACTCCCTTCTTTTTCATCCAGGGAATAGTGCCCTATGTTCACTTCTGAATTGCCCATTCTTTCTTAAAAATGGACAGAAGAGCCTGGAAGAACAGTCTCCTATGGCTGTTCTGGTGTGGTTTGGAATTGGGTATGGTGTCCTTCCTTTATCAGTTCCAACCTACACCTGCTTTTGGAATGCCATCCATTGGCCAAGTTTTTTCCAGCCATGGACTTTTGGATGAGGAAGAAAGCACAATTGCATCTCCAGCCAAAAGCAATGAGGAGCAGGGCAGCCAAAATGTCCTATGGGGACACAGGTTTTCATCTGTCCACACCGAGGCCTTGGTTCCTGCCCAGTGCAGATGGCATGTCTCCCCCGTGACGGCTTCCACTTCCCAGGTGGCCATGGCTAAGAGATACAAGGCTCTGCAAGTGCAACCAAAGAAGGTGGACATGTCTGCTGCCAGTACAGGAGAGGGGAGAGCAAAGAGCCTGGGTGTTGCCTGGCCAAGGAGGGACAGCACCTGCTGGACCAGCTCTTTGTCATCAGATAAGGACTGGTGGGTGGCACCACTCTTGGGGGCCCTGTGGGGCTCAGTAATCACGAAAAGCCTCTGTGCTTGATTGGTTTTGTCCCTCTTTCTGTGCCTTCTGTTGTCCCAGTGCTCAGCGGCTGCTTCCCAGGGCTCTGTAGCTGGCACAGCTAAAGTGCAGGAGAGCCTCATATGTCAACCTTTTCCATCTGGGAGGTCGGTCTGGAGAGTGAATTCTCCCCTCTGTTTGGTGGTAGAGGCCAGGGCCTGTCATCTGCAGTGCCAGGTGGCACTGAGGGCTGTCCAGTGCCTCAGGCTGGTGTGACCCTAGAGCAAACAAGAGGAGACAGTGGCAGGTGCGTGTTTCCAAAGTCACATTCTGCAGGGCCAATGTGCTGTGTGTGTCCTTTGTCCAGCCCTGCCCCAGACCTGGGGATCAGATGCAGGCACTGCTGCTGCTGCAGTCAGCGAGGATTTGGTGGTTGGTTTCCATCCCAGCAGAACTGGTCACTTATGAAGCTGGGTGCTGATGGTGCCCTGCAGATCTCTGGGCTGCACAACTGTGAGGGAACTGTCCCCGCTTGTTATTGCCCACCAGGGAAAGCTATGCCTGCCAAGTGTGCATCAACACAGCAAACAGGGAAAATACACAAGTCTACTCCATCTGTGTGAGCTGAGAGTGGTGACCTTTGAGATTAAGTGGCACAAAGTCAAATTGCTTTAGGTCCCTCTCTCTATCTCTGTGTGAGGTAATTCTGCTAAATTTGCCTTCATTACAGCAGCCTCTCAGCTCAGCAGGTTTGATAAGTTGCCATTTATCCTGAGGAATTTCTTTTTATAAAGGGCAGAAAAACTTTTAAAAAAGTGAGACAACAGGGAACGATGGTTCCAAATATTGGAACAGCTGTGGTTTCTGTTTCCCTAAGCCCCCCTTCCTGTAGCCTGTCTAACTAGGCTCTGCCTCACCTCTCCCATTTCTGATGGGGCTTGTCCATTTTTAATGGGTGGTTTCCAGGCACCACCATTTACTAAGTTCCACATTCTGTTTAAACTGTTCTGTCTTGCTTTCTTTCCATCCATTACAGCCTGTTCTCTACAGATATGTCCAGGGAAGAAATGTAGAAAATTGTTACATGCTACAATATAAAAGAATATAAGAAGAATTTTTATAAGGAGACCTAATTGTCCTTCAGGACAATTTACAGTGAGATTTAAGCACTTAAAATGCAGGCAGTATTAAGAGCTATTGAGTTGATGAATGACACTCTGATGCTTTAATTATGTGATATTATGTTCCAGGTAAAAATTTGCCACAGATGGAGATGTTCACATCAAGTAACAAAATAGTGATTTGTGTCTGCTTGTTAGAAGTGTGAGAGTATGAGATGAGAACCTCTTTGTACCTCTGAAAAATTCTGTACAGAAATTGAAGCATTTCCAGCAGATGGTTTTTAGCCACATTTGCCTGGAAGTCTAGAAAACACCTTTGGAGGTACATTCTTAGTCACCTCACTGGTTGGGAAGAATGTACTTCAAATTGCAATGCCCATGCTTCAAAAACCTCTGGCTAAGTAGGCTCTTTTGAAAAATGTGGTGGAATTTGTTTCTTTTTTTTTTTTTTTGGAGCTGTGCTTTGGTCCAGTAAATCTGTTTGCTCTGTGTAAACTTGAAAGAAGAGATCAGACCCTGGGTTCTAAGGCAGAGTTGGTTTATTTCAGTTTGAGCTGGGTGCCACCAGAGAGGGACCCTGACCAAAGAAATCCCTGGGCCTTTATACCCTTACAGTCTGTGCACCCGACCTTCACGCACTTGTCACGTGCCCTGCATGAGCCTCTTAGTCCTATGGTGATTTATGGTCTGGGGTCTTCTGACACCTCATTGGATTCTCCATGAGGTTTGTGTGCCATTAACTGCTCTTATATTCCGGCTTGGGGCAGTCTTGGGACCCTCCAGGGTCTCAGCCCTTACCTGAAGATAACCAGTTTTCTCTATTTTCTCCCCTGCTTAGCCATTATGATGAGTTCATTTAAAGTTCGCCTATGTTAAGTTTTGAGCAGGGCCCTCTCATTCTAAGGTGAAAGCAAGTTACAATTAAACCTACACAGATACTCTTTAATATTCTATAAGTAAACTTATTTTAATCCCCAACAATAAACTCCTAGTTTACATCTAGCACCTGGTTTACAGTGCAAGTTCTGCCTATCTCAAGGCCACTCAAGTCATCTCAGCACCCTTGTTTGTTGGCTTATTCCCTTTTAATAGGGAATATTCTATTTGAGTCAGTCTGGTGTGTCATTAATGTTTCTCTATCTGTTTCTCTATCACTCTGCTGTGATACCCCCACCTTGTAACCAATCACATACCCATCCACAAAGAATCACAAAGAGAAATCTTGCACTCTCTCAAGCATCTTTCTCCAAGTCTGAGGGGATGACCTGTTGCACCCAACTGGGACATCATTGTGGTCTGATGGACAGTTGTGAGCTGGTAATTCAAGGGCAAGAGGGGGACATATGTGCAAAACATGAAGTTGGCTACTATGTGAAATTTGGATAGGGTAAATCCACCAAAACCCTTGTTCTTGGCTTGACAGCAGAAGTTCAAACTAATCCTGCCGTTATTTTTCTTACCTAAGGATTGGGACCTTTCTGGCAGGACGAATACCACTGTTTTGAAGCATTTGAGTATGATATTTTGTAAGAGGCCATACCACACTACAGACAGAATGAAAGGGTAATATAAACAAAAGTAAGTAAGCCCTGCTTGTATATAACAGGTAGTAATTTATAATTATGCATTGAAATTATTAAATGAAATACAAATTGAGTAAGTCTCATGTATATCCAGGCAAGTTGTAAAAATGTGTTTTACGATATGTAGTATGCTCCTCAACACTATGCTTCATGAATATTGCTGTATGGCTGCCTCTGATAACATTAAACACTTCAAAATATATGTATACTTTGCATATGGGCAAAAACTGATAGTCATGCTAGGCAATGAAAGAACAATAGCATGCCTTTTATCTTATGAGTGTCAACAGAGCTTTTGACTAGATTACTTCTGCTAGCTGACTTTTGCATTCAAACAGGAGTCTGTCTTAATTATCCTTGTTGAGCACACTGGATTACAACTTCCATTGTTGCACTGCAACTGCCCAGCATTTTTGTTTCAAACACAATGAAATGTATATAGAATACTGCAATAAGTTACCACTTTGCTATGAGTAGCTCTTGGAAAATATAAAAAACCCTCTAAGATGTCAATACCTAATGCATTACAATATGCATGTAGACATTATATCTACATATATCTAAGAAAAAAGAAAACCCTGTGAATGAAACAACAGATTTCATTACTTTAGTCTATACCTGTTTTGGACAATATATACACTTCTACAGCCTCTGAAGGCAGAGATGTATATCACTATGTGATATACACACGCATAACTGTGGTAAAACAGTATTGCTGTATTATATATAGTTAGAGCTATACACAATTCTACACAGCACATCACATTTTGGATTCCAGCAGATTGAATTTTAGTTTTCTGTAATGCATCAATGATGAGCGAAGATTTTTTTTCTATCTTAGGCAGCTTCTTCAGCGGAGCAATCAATGCCTGCATAAGTAAATTTCTCATATAGCGTAGTATTCACATAGGTCTGGAAAGGAAATAAGCAGAGAAGATGTGATGCTAGGTGCATTACCTCAAGAACCCTAAATAATATTGAAATGATGCATAGCCTAATTATTTATATCATTTTAAGTATATATATTTACATAAAATAGAGTTTTATTCTTACCTTCCTGTCTTCTAACATCCTGTTCAGTGACACCAGTATCTGAGCAAATGATGGTCTTTCATATGGTTTTTCTTTCCAGCACTGCCTCATAAGGTCATACCTTCAAACATCCAACACCAGCATTTGATGGTTTAGCTACATAGGTTAAACTTACAAATACTTGATAATTTAAAGATTGTGCACATTCCACTCTTCAGAGGGAAATGGATTTCTACATAGCTGAAGTTACATTTTCCATAGTTGGTTGCTGTCACAAAAGAACTTTCTTTTACTCTGGAGTAATCAAAAAGCTCTCTTTGAGCTAAAACCCTGGTGTTTTGTGTAAAGAACAGGATAACTGGCTGGAACAGAGAACCTGAGAAAGTATTCATGGCAAATTAATATTGTATGTTGTATACAAAAGGACTTATGCACTTGTAAATTTTTTAATGTAGTTTTTATGTTTTGTGCACTTTTTAAATTTTTAATGTAGTTTTTAAATTTTCCAGTAAAAAAAATTATTTGCCAGTTTCTTGTAGAAATCTTCTATCTTTTATATCTAAGGTTGCTGTTATTCTATTTCTTTTTTGGTTTTTTTTGTGAGGCAATACTCACACTTCATCGTCACAGTTGAGAGGTTTTTCCAGTCGGTACCCTTGAGGGAGTTTTTCGTATAATTCTGCACATGTCATTCCACAATATGGTGTTCCACCTAAAGTTTAACCATTATCATAAATGGAAGCAGTTTTTAATTAAAAAAAAAGTTTAATTTCGTAGTAGAAATTGAAATGACTAACATAGTAACAGCTAAATTAATCCAAAATTAGGAGGTATTATGCATCTACATTTTTATTGTAATGCTTCCTTACTGCTTGATGCACAATATGGAGGAGAAAAGAAAAATTTAGTGTCAATTTTTTCATCTGTGTGGCTGGACTAATTTTCTCTGCAAGTCTGAGGGCCAGGATCTGATAGTATTCAAAATATTTTTTCAATGGCATTGATGTCACTGGGCAAGTCATTCCTTCATTAGTATCATAATAAGATCTGGTATGGACTCATGGAGCTGTTACTGTCAGCTGGTTTTGCCCATTTCTATAGGTATTTGGTTGCTTAGACTTGATTTTCCACACTGCATCCATATCTAGAGCAAACCCATTTAGTAAGGATAGCCAGGAACAAATCAGAAATTCAAAGTCCAGTTGGCAATGTGCACCTCAGTCAGTAGCCTCTCGTGGCCAGCAGACCATGGGCACATCTCCAGGGCAAATCACCAGAGAGGTGTAACACAATGATTTTGAGTGGTGCAAGGCTGTATCACAGTCATGATGGGTAGAGGTATCTGCAGAAATGAACTCTAAATTTTATTTGAAGGTTAATGTTCAAAATTTTTATTCATGAATATTTGGAGTAGAAGGTGATTAGTTCCCCACCCTGCAATATCATTAAAATATAAGTCTTGATTTGAAATGCAGGAAAGCTGAGGAAAAGTCACCCACCCAACTCAAAACATGTTGTACTAAGGCTATATATCATATGATATCCTGGAATTTATATTTAGGTATGGCCTGGATTTTACAGTGTAATGAAAACATGGTCATTATGATTCTTTCTTATTTAAAGTGGTACCTGGACTTAAAATTTGACAATTGCATTTCCAAGCATACTGAACCTAAATAAAATGTAGGAGAATGAAACAGAAATAAAATAGAAATCTATTGTGAAGCAATATTTTTTAAAAGACTGAGTGAATAGAGCTGCCTTGGTGCAGATTGTTTATTTGTGCAGTACAAAATTCAGATACTTACCTAAACTAACAATTTCCCATAAGAGGACACCATATGACCATCTGCAACAGAGGGATATTATGAAGTGCAACAAGAATTAATATTTTTAAATGGTAGATAGTTTTGCTAGTGTTCAGGGAACACAGGGAAGTGTGATGTTTTTCCGTATTTTTTATAAAGTTTTGTATAATGATGGGGCTTGTAGAATCAGAAAACAGGAAAATTGGCAAAATTAATTCACTCTGAGTCAACCAAAGACATTTATCAGATTGTGAGCTTTCAGCAAATACTGAAATTACAGAAATTCTTTTCCAAATACAATTTCTAGTTTCCTAAATAAAATACAGATTTCTTCTGGATTTTCCAAATATTCATCAGGTCTCAAATTTTGAATAAGAAGTACAGCTGAAGTAGCAGGGCACATCCAAGTAGTTTGTGAACACAGAACTTGATCACACTCTGAGGAAGAAATAAAAGTAACTTTTTTGTTACGGGTTTTATTTTTTGTTTCCATTGCTTACTTATGGTGACATTACTACTGAGTATTTTGAGTTAAGAGTGGATGTCTCATGCTAGTTACCAACCTTTTCTTCATATGGAATTTTTTTTTTTTAATGCCACTTGAACACATACTTACACATCACTATTTGTGGTGTAAACACTGTAATTCAAAGATTCAATTGCCATCCATCGCACTGGAAGCCGTCCCTAGAAATTATTTAATGAAAGTTTATTTTTCACTTGCTGGTATAGCAATATTGCAGTTTATATGCCAACAATCATTCTGTGTTGCCTTAGTGAAAACTGACTTTATGTAAGTAAACTTTATCAAGTAAATAAACTTACTAAACTTGAGCTGTTTTACAGAAGAAATTCTGTATTGTGAGAGTGGTGAGACACTGAAACAGGTTCCCCAGAGAAGCTGTGGATGTGGGAGTGTTCAAGGCAAGTTGAATGGGGCTCTGAGTAACCTAGTGTAGTGAAAGGTGGGGTTGGAACTAGATGGTGTTGAAGGTACCTTTCCAAACAAATCATTTCATGATCCTATGATTATATGATTTGCTTCCCAAAGGAACAGTTCACATGAAAGTTAATAAAAGAATTATCCAATCAGCACCAAGGTGAAATGTAAATAATACCTCAGACGATGCCTCTGACCATCGTGTTGCCTTGACAACACAGTGCTGTTTCTGGTCTTTAGCTACATCATGCTTATTACATATCTTCTTTTAGATCTTCCAAGCACTAGTTCTAGACACATCCTGATGTACATCTGGTTACCGTCTTGCTAATTTTGGCCTTGTTCAATAGAATTAGACCAGCTTGACTCATCTATTTTACTGTCATTCATATTCATATAAATAATTTTAAATTACATTTTATATTATAGACATGGTATAGGATTTATTTACAAGTAGATGTATTTATGTGTATATTAATAAGTATTCATATTTTACATGGCAATTAATAAAATTTAATAAATTGGTTCTGTAATACCCATAAATTTGCATTTTTCTTCATATGGAAATGCAAATTAAGAAATAAGAAAGCAAAATTAAGAAAACAGATTGTATCAATTTATGTTGATCCTTACCATGGTCTTCTTAACGTAAACTTCCTGACCTCTTGATAAGCCAAAGTCAGCTATTTTTGCAACATAATTTTCTCCAACCAAGATGTTTCTTGCTGCCAAATCTCGATGAATAAACTAAAATAATTATGATGATGATAATGATAACACTAATAGTAATTGTAATAATAATAATAATAATGTAATAATGTAATAAAATAAGGGAATCAGTATAATTGAGTTTTACATGTATTAATTTACTGCTATATTGAAAATTTCAACCCTTTAGAATAAGAACATAAAACAAAGAAATTGGCTTAGTATGTCACTACCAAGAACATTTAAACTTTATCTGAAAATGAAAGCTGTTAACTACCATGTTGTTTAAAGTTTTAATGCCTCTTCCATGATTCCCCATGATGTATTTGATAAGTTTAAATAGAGACAACAAAATAAATCTCATTCAGTGTGTGCTATAGAAGCTAAAATTAAAAATTAATGTAATTAAAGGGCGTATTCCCTGGAAAACTATTTTCCATGCTTTCAGTGGGTAGAGAGTTGAAGACTGACCTGTTTCTGGCTCAAGTAGTCCATCCCTCTGGCAACATCTGCTGCAAAATGCAGAAGTTGCTGAGAGGAAAGTGTAGATGCAGTACTGTTGGCAATAGCAAATGCTGGGTCTGTCTCTAGTACTCTGCTTTTCCGAAGGAAGTCCAGTAAATTTCCATGGGGAGCATATTCAATAGCAAGGTAAAGATATCCTAACAAAACATCAGATAATGAGCGTATCACAAAGTAAGAGATGGTCAGTAGTAGTCTTGGGCAATTTACACTACCTTGAGTGAAAAAAGAAAATAAACACTGGAGTGAAATGTCAAACAGGCTAATTTCTAGGAGTAAAGGAGAATTTTGAGTGTTGAACATAATTTCTGGAGTATTAATGTGGGCTTGTAGATCTAAACACAAGTTTATCTGACTTTTTAACAAAAGTTGCACAGAGGCCTGCTAGTGTTTCTCTGGACTGTGTGGGCTATATTGTGAGAGGGTTTTTTTAAACTAATTTTTAAAGTACATGCATTCAATAGCATCTTACCCCTATGCTCACATGCTCCCAAAAGATTTATGATGTTGGGATGATGACCAAGTTTACAAAGAACTTCAAGTTCTCCAGCAAAATCTCTGTGATCATCTTTTGAGGCATACTCTGAAAATCAAAAAAGCACACATTTACATTTTAGTTGTAACTGAGTTTATAACAATGCATTTTTTTAATTTTGAGGACTCCACGTTGCTTGGGTTATTACTTTTTCAACTCCAGTAGAAAGAGAAAAACTGTAAGGTACATTAGTATTTACAGAAAAAAAATAGGATTTTTCAATCAGAAGAAAAAATTGTGAGGAACAAGTGTCCGTAGAAGCTATCTGCAGAGAAAGGAAGTATCTTAACACACCCTATCACTATCCTTCTTACTTGAGAGTGTAAAATGTTGCAGCAGATAATATTAAAAGGAGCTGCTTAAAAATCCTTCCATATGTGTGCCGTTGATTATTTCTGCCAGTATGCAGACATTGGCTATTTTTAAATTAATCATCACACTTAAAAGTGTTTTTCAGTTTGCCTAGATAATGACCCGGAGAATTACAATAAAACATGTACATTCTTGCAGTATTGTACACATTGTAGCTCTGTCTGGAATGTAGCTGTCATGCCCAGTGAAAAAAAAGAAACTTAATGATGCCCATGGTATGTGCATATATAGATGCTTAGATGCAGTTGTCTCTGAACAGCTATAGTGAACAAGATGAACTAATGCTGTGCTCCAAGACATGCTGTCTGCTCCTGTCTATCCAATGCACCTTGCCTTACAGATGAACTCACGTGAAGCTCATACTGGTCCCTGAATTGAAAAATAACGATGGTTAATCATATCAACCACTGAGGAGAAATGGAAACCAACTTTACCCATCAGAAATACAGCTGTTGACAAATCTTGGCCTAGTGACACCTGGTACAACTTAATTAGCAACTTTGAATATTTATTTTAGCTTTAAAAGAGGGCTGCTAAGCATTTTGTATGACAGAGAAACATTTGAAATACACAATCAAGAAATCTCTTTAGTCACAGAATCCCTGGTTTTTACTACCTTTCATCCTTTTTATTGCAGCATCCATGCGTAAGCCATCTTTCTTAATGCGTGCTTTCAGGACTTGCCCAAAATTACCTTCCCCAATCACATCTTGAAATTTTATGTCATTCCATTCAAGAACTGGATAAATAGTAGGATCTGGACTGTTTTTGGCTTTCCTACTCAGAGTGAGAGTACCTGAGTTAAACTGCAGAGCTGGCTCTTCCCTCTGCAACAGAATTAAGAAAATGACATTAACTGTGATCTCTACTTCACTGAGCAATGCCCTGATTGCATTTCCAAAATGCCTGTGCTCACTCATCTCCACACACACACACACACCTCAATCCATCTCAATCCATCTCTTACACATACAGCAGACTGAGTACATTAGACAGTTACATCTACTTTGCCTGCAACAAGCAGTTCTGCTCAGATCCACAAAATTAATCAGGCTTCTAAACTGATCCTTTTAGATCTGGGCCTCCTGAACAGTTTATAATAATTTTGAAGATGAAGGACATGGGCAAAAATAATGTGATAAAACCGATCTCAAAACCAGTTATAATTTTCAGGTTTAAGCTTAATCTCATATTAGGTTTTAATTAAATCTTGTGCTGGTCAGGCTGGGCAGGAAAGGTGATGCAAGAAGAAGCGAGAAAATAAAAAGAGAGAGGAAATTATCTTCCTCTATGCTTAAAGAGACATCTCCTCTTCAGTTACACATTCTCATGAAATACTGCTGTGGGAAAAGTTTTAGGACTAGGAGACAAAGCTATTCTGTGTGCCCTGCAGTCTGATCATAGAATTGGGTGAGGCCCTCACCCATGTTTCTGAAAAAATCTAATTAGATATGAAGGAGCTCTTTGGGCCAGTTTCATTCTGCTCCACAGGTTCCCCTCTGGAGGCAGAGAAAAGCAGCAGAAAGCAGAGTGATTTAGAGACTGCGGCAGGATACAAAGAAATATGTGTCTATAGAGAGATATCTCCTTGTGATGTTAAAATCTTCAGCAATTTCCTCACAGCCAAAACTGTGATGTTGCCATTGATAGATCCCTGGTGTACTGTCCCTAAGTTGAAAATGGATGAGCATGTATCAGCAGCTGCTGATGCTCAAAAGCAGCATTAAATATTCGGTAGTTTTCAAAATCAGGCATGATTTCTTAGAGGCAGAACAGGCTCCTCTATTCTTTCTGGCTTGGTACTTGTCATACACATGTGTGACAAGGCAGAAGAGGGAGAACAGCAAATGGTCTGAAAACATTTTTTCAAGTCAAGTTTTCTACCTCCTAGCCTGCAACTGTGCCCTATTAGCTTTAGCTTTGAGGTCACTAGTAGAGAAGCTTTACAACAAAGAGAAGACAGTGTTTGGGAAAGCCAGGAAAAAGAAATTGGAAGAAAACACAGGAAAAGATGAGCTAAAGTAAATAACCAAACTGACACAGGAAAGCTGGAAACCCACCACTACATTTTGGAAAGCCTGAGCCATTCGACGCTGGAAGTTGGCTCGCTTTAGCTGCAGCATGATGAGAAAGGCCAGGAGAATTGTTACACAGGTCATCCCTGCAGATCCAAGGATAGCAATAAGCAGCATTTTGCCTCCTTTTGATTCATGTGGAGCTGTTGAGGAAGGACAAAAAATTCATCATCATTTTCAGCTTATTCTGAATTTAGCAATACATTAGCCATGTGTAATTGAATACTCCTCTCTTGTAAACTGTTTAAAAAGCTAAGGATACATCCTTTTGTTTTCCAAAAATGCCAGAAACATTGAATGCTCTGAATTTCAGGTGTACGAGCACCTAAATATTCTATTTAATTCAGTCAGAGCAGAGATGAGGCCACATTCAGTGATCTAATGATCTTGCTGTATGCAGCTCTTCATTTTCTGAGTCACTGGGCCCTTTTTAGTGGATATAGAGAAACAGTGCATGTTGTCACTTCATCAATACCATGCAGTGAAATAAGAATTAAATTTTGGTGGTGCTGTGTTGTGTGTCAGAATTAATAGCCAAAGAAAACTCAGATTAAAACATTAGTATTATGATAATGTCTTAGCTAACTAGTTTATACAACCAGTCCTGGTTTGTGCAAATGCAGTGTGGGGGATTAACTAACCTTTTGTTTCTGGAAGGGTCCTCAGTTCAAATGATGTGTTCGGGTTGCTCAAGCCAATGTTGTTCTGAGCATTAATCTGAACCTGGTACACAGTGTCTGGCTCAAGGCCCTTGAGCTGATATTGAGTAATGCTGGTGTTCTTTATGATAATATCAACGTGGTTGTACTCAGCCTTGCCATAAATTTTGTAGCTGATGATGATGGAGGAGATGGAATGACCCTCAGCAGCTGTCCAAGAGATGACTGAGGATGTGTCTGTGGTGTTAGAAAACCTGATGTTGTTCGGTGCAGGAGGTATTCCTGAGAACAAACAAAACACACAAGGCATTGGCGTGTACATCCACCTCTTTCTCCTTTTCACAGAGAACAAAACATTTTCCTTGGTGCTTTTGCTGTTCAAAGCACAATTTGTTGATGAGCTATGGTAACTGAATGCAATAATTTTATGATCTTGATGTGCTGTCATCCTTGTAGCAGTATTCCATACTTCCAGCAGAGGTTGGAGCGGCATTCAACATACTCTCTTGGATGAAGATACACATCCTCTGAGCTGTATGCAAGCACACCATATTTCCTTTCAGATTAATGCAAAAAGGATTAATATCCTTCTCTACTGTATCATCATTCCCTTGTAATTCCCATGTCCTGTACTTTCACTGCTTCAGAGAGCAATTACCTGTTAGGCTCTTAGAAAGAAAGGAAATGGATACCAACACTTCCAAAAATCTAATCAGAAAACTACCAGCAGGGGTGAGTGCTACACTTGCAGAGGCAACCATGAATATTAAGCTAAGTACCTTCTCCTGGAAAACAGTACCCTTATGTGGTTCTTAGTGCAGTTTGGTGTCAGAGCTCAGGGAAATGGAGAGTCCCATGACAGCCATTTATACTTCCACTAACACATGTAGGATTTCAGTGAGGGCCTCCTTACATGACCTTTAAGGAGGAAGAAGCCCACCTTTCCAGTGTGTGGTAAGGGCAGTGTCACCTCTCAGCCATTCAGATGGACAGCTGTTCATAATGGCTGCTGTTCAGATGGTACTTCATTCAGATAGGGCGTTTGTTGTGGTGTTGTGAAAGCACAGTGCTCACACTCAGGGAGTTCAAGGGTGGTCTTCAGTGCAGCACACTTAACTACTCTTTGCTCACAGGTGTTTTACCTTGCATTGTATCTTCTCTTCTTTAAGTGCTGACTATTTCTGTATGGTCATAGCCGAATTGAGTAACAAAAGAGCTTGGAGTAGTGAACTCTGATGGCTCATCATTCTGACGAGGCAAAAAATGCTACTTGTGTCAGAAGCATTAGTTGCACTGAAATGAAGATGTGGATTCTCAAGCTTGTTTTTCTCCATTTAAAAGAAACCCACATTAGTAGTTCCTGACAATTTCCAGCAGAAGAATTCTTTTGGATGCTGAGCTTTCCAAATTATAGCAATAACAACCGTAAGTGATCATGAGGAACTAAGCTTTACCAAAATAAAGGATTACATTTAATGTAGTCATCAAGTGACAATTAGTCTGATCACTGGGGGTAACATGAAGAATTAAACAGAAGGATGTGAATCAGCACTTACTGTCACTGAAAGTCCATGCATATAGATAGTTGCTCCATTCTCCTTGGGACCTGGTGTTCACCCGTACCCTGCACATGTATTGCTGTCTAGGCTCAAGATCTTTAATGATCAAGGTGGACATATTTCCTGGCACTTGAGTAATAACACTGCTCTCGTCACCGTTGTCATTCACGCTCTTCCTTTCCACTTCAACACGAATATCATCCTCTGTCCTCAGTGTTAAGGGATGCCATGATAAATTCAGTGATGTCATACTTTTTGGAAAGAGAGTGATACCTTCTGGTGGAGGAAGACCTTGGAAAAGCCACAGTGAAACAGGGAACAACATTTCATGTCTGGTGTCTAAGCTAAAGTAGGGGTACAGTTATTCCCAACCACTTGCCCCAGTTTGGGGTGACGTAGGGTAATTCTCTCAGCCATCCCACATAATTTGGCTGAAGTTACATCTAAGAGGTGTTGATAGTCCCACAGTATCTTAGCAACAGATGATGTGCCAATAAAATGGCATCTTCAATGAGCTGGTGTTGCAGATGCACTTTTTAGATGTGAGAAGCCAACAGTTGATGTCATGCTAGATAGGTTCTGGTGCAATCCTCATTTATTCTGTATGTCTGTATTCAGTTTGTTTAGTTTGGGATCTGTCCTAAATTAACTAAAAACTGTCCAGCTTGTTAAACATCTTCAGTTTTAAATAAATTGATCTAACACTAGGAGGAAGGACTGCAAAAAAGTGATTTGTATATCCAACTCTGTTGCACAGCCAGCCAAAATATATAATTTTTCCTTTCCTAGATGCCTCATCTCTAAATCAGGGAAAATAATAGCTCTGCTTTTTTCTGGTTTTCTTCACCTCTGTTTTTTGATTTGTTTTTTTCTTTTCCTTCCTTTTTTTTTTTTTAATATCCCTTTGCCTGAGATTCTTTTGAAAGAGTCTACAAGTTTTCAAGTGCAACTTTCTTTGCTCAAGTGAAAGTGTTATGACAGAGATCAGGGAACAGACAGCAGAGAAAAAGAGCTGAAATACCCCATTTGTGAGAAACCACAGTGATCCCTTACCAAGTGCAGCTGTTGTGAAGCTGGCCTGCGGTCCAGGATGGCCTTCTCCACCTTCCCCTTGCCGACTTAGCTGAACACAGAACTGATACTCTGTTTTGGGTTCCAAATTGTCCAGTCTTTTAGTTGTGCCTTTTACTGACAATAAAAGTTAAAAGTAAGTAAAGCCATGGCCTGTGTTGAAATATGTTATGGAAGAAAATGTTTGGAAAATACAAGGTAAGACACACAGACTCCTTTTTTTGTTGTTGTTCTTGATTCAGTAAGATAAACTAATTAGAAGTATAATGTAACTATTTTTAATTTGAGCTCTAACCCCATCCAAAGGTTGCTTCACCTGCCATTCTTTCAGGACAAAACAATACTGATTGCTTAGTCAATGTCCTTTCTGTACACAGATTTTGGGTTATACTGATGTAGTGACAACTGTTCTTAAAGGTCCTGGAATGTTTCCTGTAGTATTTTAGGCTGTGCATAAAATTTGAAAGCATAGCTGGAGGAGGTCATCCAACTAATAAGCAGGTTTCATTTTGCCTATACCATTACTGATAAATATTTTGGTAAGTTATTAGTCTCTCTAGGGATACAATGAACACAATGCAAGATGGTAGATGCCCCAGCATGTCTCCATACTGCCCACTGCTTTTGAAAATCTTCCATTTACATGGACGTTTAAAACAGCTGGGCCCAATACTGAGTGCACTTAATCCTAAGGAAGGAGGGGAAAACCTTTTGTTCCTGAAATGAATATACATTTTCAACAACCATTGGTGTAACACATCCACATGAACATTATGTGTAATGATAAACAGGCACACATCCAGTCACAAAATTTCTATGCGTTGTAGAGTCTTTTGAGGCTAATCAAGAACAGAAACACATGAAGTTTCAGTTGGTAGGTGGAGTTTGTCTTTAAGGGAATTAAAGAATATCCTCTTACCTTCCACAGACATCCAGGACTGATAACGTTTTGCTGGCTTGTACAGAAGTTTTGTTGACACAACAGGTCCATCTCCGTTGTGTAACTCAGCATTGATATCAATTATGAGAAAATTATGTCCTCTGTCTGTCAGCCTTGGAGCATACTGTGGCACAGGAGGAACTGAACAAGAATGCATGTATTAAACTAACCTTTTAGCTCCCTATATCAGTAAGACTCTCGTTACTCCTAGATCTGTAGGAAAATGAAAGATGCTCTTCAAAACTCGCATAAAATAGATAGGGCGTTATGCACTAAAGCTGATAGTTAAGATATTTTAAAAAAAACCTTGGGTGGTGTTCTAAATCTTGTCATCACACTTATTCTTTCAATATACATAATTAGTATGTTACTTATAATGGATTTCTGTTCATATTCTAACTGTAAATATTTATTCAGGCATTTTCCAGCAGTGCAGAGAAAGCTCAGACATGCTAAAGTATAAAGCTGTGCTTAAAATTAGAGAGACAAGGACACTTGAAGAAAGCTTTTACCTTTGACTGTAACTTGAAATGGTTTCTCTGCCATTCCTGCTACTGTCTGCACACTGCAAACCCAAGTTCCTGTATCACCAGGCAGGACTCGGTTAATTCTAAACATGGCTTCAGAATGATTACTGGTGGAAATTTCATCAGGCTGAAACGGCAAAAAGATGTACAGGACCTGAAAAATTTGGGCATCTTGGAGTATTCCAATGATGCTTTGAGTTTAGTGATATCTATAAAAAGCATCTAAAATGGCCAACTTCGTATTTTCATATGTGCCAAGAAGTTCATGGGGTACTCCAGAATACCAAAATTTCATATTATGCTTGAAAAACATAGTATGCATTAACTACAAAGTCAATATAAACATTAGAAATAGCAGAAAGCAATTGATCAGGAGCCTACCCTCAGAACAGTTCCATCTTGCTTCAAGAGTTTGAATTCTTCAGATTTAGGAAGCGGCATCCCTGTTGCTATACAAAACGGTTTGAACTCGACGCCAGAATTGAGTTCCACAGGATCTAGTAAGTTCACTATCTGAGGCGAAAGATCTGCTGAACCTACAGAAGATATATAGTATAATGTCACCCTTCTAACAGACATTTTAAAAGACAGGTTTAGGTGTGCAGGCAGTGTAGGTGTCTGGTTCTGCCTTTCCCCATGTGGGCATATGCAAGAATCACACTTCTCAAAGACAACGTTTTTACATCATTTTATATATAATGTGAGAAGGAACAAACCCTCTGTTCACTCGTCTTTCTTTTTCTGATCCCTCTCCTCTCTTTGTTGTTCACATTTTAAGCACAAACAGTCTAGCTATGGCAAAATCATGCACATATTTTGTTCTGAATGTACAGTACCTCCTTGCTCTCTATTTTGACTGTTTGTAAGACCAGACAGATTGTAACAATATAATTTGGCTGGTTGGATCAGAGCCTTATTTCTCTATTTGGTTTTGTTCTTGAAAAGTTTCACAAATCAGCAGTGAATTTGTCACTTTATTTATCTAGCTAAAATAATAAATGCTGAGTGCATCTTTTAGAATACCTTGTCTGAATCCAATGAGACAAGGTGTGTTCAGCTTTGTAAATTTAACTTTCTCCCAGAGAGACAGAGAAGTTTTAAACTTTGGTGTTGTATTATTGTCTCAGTCATCACTTTCAGATCATGAAGCTCGTGTATAGGCATGTATGCAGCCAACCAAGAGGTAGGTTATGATAAAATACCATGAGTTTATACAAAAAGCTGGATGTGCAGCTTCTGTTAAGGATTAATGTTAAGATCAATCAAGTCCTATGGAGTAAAGCTTGAAAATCTAATGATGTCATCCTGATAAATGCAACATATAGGTCAGAGGCTTAAAAATACTGTATTACAATGAGGCTGTGCGGAAGTGTCTGTGCTCCTGGAAAGTAGTGGGTGGAGCAAGAATACCAGCCTGGAATGGTAATGCTGTACCAGCATTAAGATCTGTTTTAGTTACACTGGGAACAACCATTTAATACCTTACTTTACCTTTTTTTTCACATTGTGAACCATGCCATCCGAAGGAGCAGACGCAGCCCTTAAATCTGTCGCATGTTCCTCGATTGTGGCAATTACATTTGAGTTTGCAATCTGACCCATAAAACCCAGGTTTGCATTCTGCAAATACATATGTTGCAGTTAGTGCAAAAGTGCTAGAAAATGGAAAATGTCTTCCAGTATTTTTCAGTCTCATTACAGAAAAAAACTTTTAACATGACTGTAAAATATATAATCTATTACTCTTCTCTGTTGGTTCCCTTCTGTATTTCCTGTGTGCAGAACATTAAGGATCCTCCCATTCTTTTTTTTTTTTCACTATACCTTTATCACATTCTAGTCCCATCCATCCTGTGGCACAAGAACAACCATATGGATCTGGTAGACAGAACATAAAGTTTCTGCAGCCATAATTTTCTTTGCAGGTCTCTTCACATGTTTTGCCAAAAGTGTTGGCTCCGCAAGCTGTTGAAGGGAGAGAAGGAAATAATAACCCAATGGCATTGTCCATGAAAGAGCTAGTACTTCTTATGATTCTGCACTAGACAAGAGAAAACATGAATTCAAATTAAAAATAGCACTTTGATCATTCAAATATATTAACAACCACAGCAACTTAAGCAACAGCTGTTCTAATAGTTGAGTATAGGCAGCAGAAACTATTTTCTCACTGTGAGGATCTGTCAGCCAAGTACCCTTGTTTTAGATCTATAGGGACACAGATTCAGCAATAAAGTGTGTTTATGAGTCTCTCTAATGTAAAATGGACAAGCAGTGCCATGAAACACAAATCTTCTTAGTGGTGAATGCACACGAAACTGCTGATGTCAAGGTTTTGCTTCAATAAGAGCAGCGCTATGCTGGAGTGCTTTAGTGCTAACTATTCCAACAGCTTAGCTCTAGTATTTTCAGCACTGCAATTCAGTCAAATAAAAGCATACGTATTTAGCAATGAACCCAAATGATGCTTGGAGAAGTCAAAACACTGTGATGCCAACTCTAACTTTTCCAGAATCCAAACTACTTGCCACACACACAGATTTGCACAAAAATATATACACTGTTGATGTCCCTACAGAGACAAAGCACCCTGTGAGCACATTAGCAGCTTCTTCAGAAGCAGCCAAGGAATCTCTAGCATATTTCCTAGTGCCCATGTATCCTTAAGGTGTCCTCTACCAATATGCATTTAAGTTAGTCAGCAGCACTGAGCACATGCATTTCAAGGGAGTCATAGCACAGCCCAGATTGGAAGTGACCTCCAAAGATCATCTGGTCCAGCCTTTAGTGAGAAAAGGAGCCTAGGAGATATTAGGCAGCATACTGTCCAAGTGCGTATTGATCAAGAAGTGTTGGAAACATTCATCATCCCTAGCAAAATAGTCCCTACTAGGTGAAGAGAGAAAGAGAGAAATTAAATCACAGCTGCAAGAACAACCAGAACAGAATTCAGGATTCATCTCACCCAACTCTGTCCTATCTCTAGCACCAGCTGTAAATGCTGCAGCTTTCAAGAATAAAACCAGGTACTCCGTATGATGCTTCCCTCAATAATATGCCAATTTCTTTTACTGAGATCAAATTAATAAGCAATCCCTGAAAATATTATCAACTTACCTTTCTCACATGTTTTTCCCATAAAACCTGGAGGACAGATGCATTCCCCAGTATCTTCATGACAAATGCCATTGTTTGTGCAGGAAGGGCAGTGGAAGCTACAGGAAGGGCCCCATTTCTCAGCTTCACATCCTTTTATGAAAGAATATAATGACATATTTGTTGTCTTATTATTCAGCAACCCTTCAAATTGTAATATTCTTTTCAGAGCAAACAGTAAAATACATAAAAGTACAAGCTATATGGAACCCTACATGCCAGCCAACTGGACTATTGTTGTTAGTAGGGTAGCAGTAGCTTCAAAATCCAAATTTGGGGCATTACATTTATTTATTCACAACTCCTGGAACTATTGTGTGGATATTCATAAATAAATGTGTATTACCATCATAAATATTTTCTATACAATATAAGATATTTGAACAGCTGTCTATTTTTTCACATCAAATTTATATTTCTATCCAAGTCAACAGAATATAATTTTCTTTATATCTGATGGACACAGCAGCTGAGTAGCAAAGTATGTAAAATGTTTGCTGGAAAATATCCCAACTCATTCTTTCATCCAGTAGGAAGTGAACCTTAAGAGCTAATTAAAACTAAGGTAGTTTGTTAAGTTATAATAATGTATACTAAAGATGATGAACCCTAGGATAAGTGAGGTATGGATATAACCCACCATTGAGAACATGGAGACTCAGTGAAGAATTACCTCTTTTGTTAATTTGTAGTGTTTGTAAAGCTGAGATGCTGAAAAAAGAGCTAACTGTCCTGGCAGTAGCTAAGATGAGCTCAATTTAAATCTGATGGTGTGTGTGTTTTTTCTCTCAGCTGTTGGCATCAATATCAGCTTGTACCAAAGGCCCTTGGTACAAAACTTTCTTCTGACACAATCTGATAGCAGTAAATGTCCAGAAATATTTTGGTCCTTATTTGGGCAATATGAATGAAACAAAGTGAAACAATATGTTTCATTTCAGATTAATTTTGACTATTAATCATCACCACATATTAATAGAACTTACGTCTTACAATAAGCCTCGTGTAAGCAGAAGTAAAAAGGTTTCCTCCTATATATCTGGCAGAGTAAACCCCTGCATCCTGTGGTTGAACTTGAGGATAGGAGACTTCCAGCTCTCCCGGCACTTCATGCCTGGGCACAGAGTGGATGAAGGAGCCTGAGGAAGGAGCGCACAGATACCACAGACAGATGTCATTCACCCTCTAAATAAATACATAAGCTTACATTGGTAACTGAAGGACAGTTGGGGGAAGCAGCAGAATCTTTTTTAAAATTCATTATGAATTTTCTGACAACTCTAGCTACACTGGTTTTCCTAATTGGAGAAGTGCAAGTAAAAAGGAAGAGACATCTTGACAGGATTTAGTAGATAAACAGGACAAACAACTTCACACTCAGCTTTGAGCTTAGTGGTTAAGAGTGTTCGTTTTGTTTCTTGGTCTTTTCTGAAATAAGGGATAACAATCCACACGGATTCTAGGGTGGCTGGAATTGAAGAGCAAATGCCAACCAGGTCTAATTCAGTCTGACTAGCACAAAGATTTACTTGGGGGACAAAAGCAGGAAGAACTCAGCATGTTTTTATATTTTCTTCCCAGATTTAACACATTTCTGTTTCTTCCAGTTTTTTTCACCAAAGACCATTTTTATTTTATTTCTAAGATTGCTGTGCTTGGTCATACATGTTTGTTAAATAAGGCAATAGTATTTGGTCTTCTTCCATCATTCTTGGTCAACAAGTAACAACATTTGAACACTGGTTGCTGTCAAAGAGAAGCTGCATCCATTGAACTTCAGGACCCCCAGGAGTCTTTCCACTCCAGTCTGTGAGAGCAAGGCTGCTGCAGTAGTTTGATACCAGGTCCAGCTAGATCTCATTAAAATATTTGTGCACATGCTAATCCACACTGTACAAGCAAAGTCATCCCCCAATATACCCACACAGCACAACTGTGATTTTATGACTACTGCATGTCCATATGACACTCACAAAAATAGCTTAGGTTGGAAGAAGCCTGAAAGATCATCCAGTTTCAAACCCCCTGCCATGGGCAGGGACACCTTGCACTAGATCAGGTTGCTCAGGGCCCCATCCAACCTGGCCTTGAACACTTCCAGTGGATGGAGTAACTAACACTTCTGTGGACAGCCTGTTCCAGCAATTTACTACGCTCACATACAAAAGTTTTTTTCTTGTACCTGATCTAAACACACCCTTTATTTAGATTAAAGCCATTCCCCATTGTCATTGTCAAAAGTCCCTCTCTAGGGTTTCCTTCAGCTCCCATTAGCACTGAAAGGCTGCTGTAGAGGTCTCCCTCTGGACTTCTCCTGGCTGTAAATCCCAGCTTGCTCACATTAACAACCCAGTCTGATCTTAACAACGCAGACAGTCTGATTCTGTTCAGATTCACAAGCTCAAATGGCTGAATGACCATTACCAATGGTACTGTCATGAATCAAATTGTCCTCATCTTCTACATTCCCTTACAGTCACACTGAAAATGCAACAACTTCTTTCTCTTTTCTTAAATTATTTAGAAGGTAAACAGCATCAGGCAGGACCTCTGCTGTCTGTGACTATACATACTGTCAATTTGACTGTTGTCAAATTTCAGGCAGCCTAGAAACATAAAACTTTGCTGAGGATCATAACCAAAGCAGCTGAAAGACTGTAGGTCACTTTAGTCCATGACAGTCCATTCTCCATGAAAACAGGGCTAAATCAAAAGAACAAATAATTAAAGGAATTTGTTTTGAAACTGTGGGGCATTTTCTAGTGTCTTTTGAGTTAAAAGCTGCATAACAAACTTGACAACAAAACATTAAGAAAGGCTTATGCTTACAGTCTGCTAAGCAAGGCTCGATTCTTATGACTTGTTTTCCAAGGTGTTATGCCAATGTCTTAAAGCAACCCTGTTTAGCAAAACCATTTCTTTGTCTAGACAGCCATTGTGAGATTCTGTAAGGGGGGGTGAAGTACTTGAAACAACTCAAGTGAAAGACTGCAACAGCTAAATATAGTAGAAGCCTTTTCTCTTCTTTTCCAGCTTCTGTATCAGGACTTCTCAGAAATGCTGTTTCAATATCAACCTCAGCTGAAAAACTTGACCTACTGTCTGGAGGCATTCTGAGATTTTTTGCTGAATTTCCAGATGGAATTGCAGCTAAGTGAGTACCATGATGTTAGCAGTCCTGCTCCAATATCTCATCTGGTTCTTTTCTGAGAAACTGGTGACAGGAGATCACAAAATTTTCCTAGGGACCCTGTAATGACAAGTGATGGCAAACTTGTCTGCTGTGCCCTGACACAGTTGAGTCTCTGAAGTCCAAAGAAACAGGTATTTGTGAAAGTGTACTTTACCTATTGCCTCTTTAAAAGACACCTTTTATCTATTTAACTCTTCCAGCCTGTTGAAATGCTCCAGGTAATCAGTAACTGGGGTTGAGGCTGACTCACTACATGAGTTCTTTGGCAGTGTGTTGTCCCGTCCTTACCTCATCCTGCTCTATTTACTCCCTGTTTCCTCATGGCTCACTGTAAGCTAGACTGTCAAAGATGGAGCAGAACATTACATGTGCTTTCCACAATCATAATTTGTTGTGGTTTAACAATTTGATTATGACGGCACTATGAGTTATAGTGACCTCTATTTTTGTATTTTTCTACAGAAGGTAGAGCACAACCTGCAGAAATTTCTGAGCATCAAGCAGGAGCAACACACAGCTGAACAGAGATTACCTGTGGTTTAGGTGCCATGCTAGATAGAAGAGTTGGTGTTACAAAATTACAAAATTTACAACTGGACTAACTCTTGTAGTTAAATGAAACAAGGACTAGATTTTGTTTACAAATTTTTCTTTCTAATAGCAGAGTACTGGTGATTAATTTCTTAGCTTGAAGGGCATCGTAGAAGGTAAATGGCCTCAAAAAACCTTCTGAAGAACTCAAAGCATCACTTGAAGAACTGTAGAAATGCAACGAAAGATTCTGTAACTGGGCTTTCACAGGGGCCCAGAAAGAAAAACAAACAACCTAAAAACAACCAGGCAAATATATGAAGGGATGTAGAAGGAAATCAAAAATTAAAACAAAAAACAAAGCAGAGATATAAAGAGAGGATCGGGCATTTTGGTGGAAGAGAAAAAGACAAAACATATTGGATCAGATCAACATATTGGATATGGAAATTCACCCCTTTAGGAGACATTAAATGTATGAGGAATGATGCCTGTTGCATCTGCACAGCATGGGAATCAGCAGCCATAACTTTCAAAGGCTTACTTGGCCCTCAACTAAAACAATTATAGAAGAAAGAGAAAAGACGAGATCCCATACCATTCTTGTAGATCACTGCATCTTCCTCTTTTGATGCCATTCTGATGAAGGAGATGTTCACATGCTCTCCCTTATTTGCTGTAACAGTTAATGCCACTGGGTGGAATGAAGCTGAAAACAGAAGTATGTGATAATAGCAGTTACTGTCTCTATCTGGTCTCTAGCCTGATAGCTGAGAATGATTTGCAGCATGAGCCTCACTCAGATTTTGACACCTCAATTTCTCTAGAGCATAAAGTGATTCTTTACCATCAGCAGCCTCAATCTATGCTTTGGCAAAGACAGCGGACTTGCCTGTACCCCGAAACAACAGACTGCCCCTAGAACCTGAGGCATGAAAAAAATAATTGGCTTCTGGCGAACTGGAAACAGTTTCTAACTAGGAACTCCAACTGGCTGTAAAACACTTTCCAAAGTTTCTTCATCTCTTAAGACATTTTTTAAGCAGACTGGGAAAAGTACTGGAAATTGTATTGTAGGGAAGAAGCTGTCACTGGCAAATAAATACCTAAGGTGATTTAAGTGCTCTTCTACTTAAGCTTTATAATGCAGAACTGTGAGATAGTTCAGGAGACCACAGTCATGCAGGGCTGGGAGAAGGTGAGGTAGATGTAGTAGGTCTGTGTTTGTGTTAGTTCACCAAATTCTGGAAATACAGAGCATGTTGGATTGCACTAAGAACCAAAGGAAAAAAATTATATTCACAGGCTGCGGGACTTTTACCAAAATACCAAAATTACGGCTTAATGAAAATAAAAATTCTGTGTGAGAGACTGGTGTAGTTTAGCCAGTTTTCCAGCAGGGAAATTGAAATTCATTTTCCTGCTTAAACAGAAAGGAACTTTTCTACATTTTTTTGTAGATCTTGATTTAAACGAAAAGAAAGCAGTAGATAAAATTATTTTCCCAATATTTCTGTCTATTTCTTATCAGTACATCAGAAGATAACTGGAGAAGGGACAGAAAAGACTCAAGAAATAATAGCTCTTTCTTGAAATGGCAGTTTTAATGAAAGTAGTGAAATGATAATTTTAATTACCACATTACATTGAAACAAGTTAGAAGTTAAGGATGCTTCCTTTCATTTACTTGGAAAATCCAAAGGAAAAGTTATGAAGTGTTTTGAGGACAAATTCAGGTTTTCAGGCCATTTTTAGCTCTGATGCTTTATGCCATACTGTCATTTATATCCTCTTCTAGAATTAGCCAAATTGACTTCTTAACTATCAAGCTCCTTACCTGACAGAGAATTTGATACCTCTGTGCTGTCCCTTTTAGAGCATTCAGGGGAGTGATGTATTGATTTAAACCAATCCCTTTGCTCTTTCTAAATTTGGAATTTTTTAGCCTTACGGGTTCCTCCTATGCAAGTTCCTCCATGTAACTCCATCTCTCTTTGTTTATCCTTCTGCTGCCACCTGCCTCCCCAGCCAGGTGAGTGGGACTATTCTGACGTAAGACCCACCTGAGTTTCAGCTGAAAGGAATCCTTAAATACCCATTCATGCTCCTAGACAGCTCTGCATTTTCAGAGGTTCCATTTCACAGCAAATATTTTCACAGCAAATATTTATTTCACAGCAAATATTTTTTTAAGGAGCATAAAAGGAACAGTTAATATAAACTGTTAGACAACTTATTAATAAAAAATTTGTCCTTTATCGAGAATCATGCCTCCTTTCTTGGTTTGTTTTTACAAAACTGTCAATAAAATATCCTTTGGTTCATAGCAACAGTTGGAGAAAAAGAATTTGGAGCTTGTAGCTGGCTAAAATTTGGTGGGAAAGAAATACACAGAGATAGGATCAGAAAGCAGAGAAAAAATTATAAAGTAACGTTCTGTCATATTTTATATGCAACAGAGCTGTAAAAAATGAGCAGACAGATTCTATATCAAAGTTTGTATGAGGCAGATATTGACAGTACCTCCACAACATTATTTTTCAAAATCTGAGGGAGTAAAAAGGATGATATTCTTGCAATAAAAGAAAGGACACTTTGATATTTACATTACAAAATAGAATTTTAAGTTAAAATAGAAATGTTTGTATCACATGATGTAAAATTAAAGAAAGAAAATTTGAGCAAGAATGAAGACATTTTTATCGATCCAAGTTAACGTCTCTCCTAGGATATTAATTCCTTGACAATTTTGACATTTTAATGTTTTATTTATCATTGGAAACAAGACAACTATTGAAAATACACAATTCTTTGCAGAATGGAGTTTCCATCCCCTGCACAGTTCTAGTGGTTTTGTTCTGAGACTCTGCTACACATTTCCATTCCTTTGTAAGCTATATACAATTGATTTCAGCAGGAGTCTTCCTGCTTCACATTAAGTATATGCTTTTGTCATTTTACCTAAACATTGGTATCTACACTTACATCTTAGAGAAACAGAAAATTCTAATATAGAATAATGAACTAAGTTTTCATTAGAAACAGGCAACAAAAACTTAAAGCAATTCCAACTTACTGTCAGCTCCCCAGTTAGAAGTTATTGATTAGTAACAAAGGCATAGTGAAAAATCATTATCTATTTAAGAAAAAAATAATTCTACAGCTTTTGCAAAAAATACATTGTTAACTACAAATGATCCTAAGGGGTTTAGTTGCAGTCCTTTTTGGACCAAATTTAGTGAGACAATGCTAATTGTCTTAACAAGATATTGAACTTTTTTATTCCATCTACTTTTCTTTGCATGTTAGGCTAAACCCTACAGGGTATTGTTGCAATGGAAAGGAATGCACACTCCCTGTTGGGCTCAGCTCCAACGTAATTTTAGATTGTGACTTGTATTACATAATTTCACATCTCAAGTGTGCCAATTCCTTATAGAGACATAACGAACTGAGCTGCAGGACAAATGCCATAATACCATTTCCATTATTGTCCCTTTGACAGCTCTGTGGTCGAGTTTCTGTGGGGAAAACTCAATCAGATATATTAAAATAAACATTTATTGTGTAGAGAAATTGAATCAATTGTATTTGACTAGAAGGAGAATACTCTGTGGTGTTTTATTCTAGAGATGTGTACTTATACAGAATAAGGACCACTCTCCATAAGAAGATAAAGCGTAAAGTGTTCCCTCTCATTGCATGTATGAATATTACATTTGCAACTACAATGTTTCAGTATAAAAAATTCAGGAGAATGGACTTGTTACTTTCAGAATAGCAGGTGGTAAAACAAATCAAGAAAATGGACCTGTTTCCATATTACACAGCAAAATTCTTCACTATATGTTCATATTTGATAATAGGTATACAATCAGGGAGATGGCAGTTCCCACTGAGTCAGTAGGGCTACCAAAATGATTAATGCTTAGTGAGTGTTTCACCAGCTTCTTGCCAGAAGGATGCAAAACAGTGGCTGGGTTTCCAGAAGTGTTGCTTCTTCCTTTGACTTTGGTGTCTCCAATGGAAAACTGCACATTTTGAACTCAATTTTTGCTGTTGAAAAACATATTCTGCCTTTAAAAATTAGGAAGTTAGCAACAGTTAAGTGGAAAAAGGTCTGTTTTCCAGACACATATGTTTTGCCAAACCCCACAATCTTTCCTCAACATCTTTCTCCACTTTCTGTGCACTTTAATAGCTATGAGAATTTCTGATGTACCTCTCTCACCCATCTAATTTGATTAAATTAAATACTTTCACTGAAGATTTGCTAGTTTGAAATTTGTTAGCGAAAACTTTTTCAGAGAAAATCTGAGAAAGGTACTCAAACTTAGAAATTAATCCAAGAAACCTACCAACTACTGGTGTGAATGCTACTTCTGTTTAGAACAACATCTGTCACATAAGAAGACTTCATAATTTGATTACTTAAAGTTCTCTGCTCCTAGGCCCACAGATGCCAAATGGGAAGAGCTGATCGATTCAGAAGACATTCTTCCTCCCATGCATGTTGCTCTACAACAGCTAGAAATGTGCTCAGCTTGCTGGCAGACTGCCACAGGCAGGGTCACAGTGACATTCCATGGACTATTATCTTATCTGCTCCTCACTGCACCCTCCTTTGAAACAATGGAGTTGTCAGTCTGCATCTGCAGATCTTTCTTGGTCACCAATCCAGCCCTTCAAAGACCACATTTGGTCAGAGAAAACATAAACCAAAGGAAAATGTATATCTCCTACTTAGCTTGCTTCCAATCTACTTGTGTTCAAAGAAATAATAATGGACACTAGCTGCAGCTCTTACAAATGAAAAAATCTTCTTTTATAAATTTGTTATGTAATTTCAGGAGATACCCACAACAAAAATTGCTCTTACTAAAATCTTATGAGTAAAGATCGAAATTGTCAAACATCCTTACAGACCAGTTGCCAAGGCACAAAACATTACAGTACATTAAAATCTATCTTAAATTATCTTAAGTTTTGAAAATGTGATTTGCTGCAGAAAATTACTCAAAATTTTTTGTGCCTTTCTGCAGTTGATGGTGACCTCTGCTTTGGAAATTGTCCCAGAAGTCTAATGATGTCCAGAAACAAGAGAAATTTTGAACATATGTAAATACAATGTAATGGACCTTAGAAATCTCACCTTCGTGTCCCACCATATCCCTGCACATTTGCTTTTACTATTGTGCATAGCCTAAAACCAAAATCAAATGAACAATCAAATGAACAGTGAAATCTGTACTGGATTTTTGTGAATTACTTTCTCAGACTGTGGAAAACTTCTCTGGGCTTCCTTTCCAGTGCTGAGAGGGATGCCTCTTTTTTTTTCCCCCACACGGACACAGACAATGAAGATCCAGTGTTGCTGATCTGTACTAAACCTTAGGCAAGGCAATTACTTTCTGGGGTCAGGTTGCCCATTTACTTAAAACAGATGTAAAAGTGATGCTTAGCTATCTACATCTCAGACCTGTCAAACTTTAAAAATAGAAGCCTGTTTGAAATCAAGCATCTGGCATGCAAGAAACCCAGTAGAGGAGTTGCCACATATATTATTCCATGGGGTCAGTGAGGCCGCTTTAACTGCTGACTTCGTGCTCCTGGCAGTAGCCAGATGCAGGCAGAACACTTAGAGATGTCTGACTAACTTCCACAAGGAAATGACTAGCACCTAGTACCAACCAGTTTCTCTGCACTGCAGAAAAAAAAAAAAAGGCCCTGAACCAAGTCCATTTTTATTGACTCAGGACTGCCTTGCCTGGTCTGGGACCCTGTTTGTGCCCACTTGTGTCAGCCAGGGGCAGCTGCCAGTCTGCAAGCAGTGCCATGGCAAGTTCAGATCTGACCACTATACTGTACCTCCCAGTGGCATCTTCATGGTATGTATCCTTGTCACCTCATCCTTGAGTTTCCCTTCACAGTAATATGCTCCAATAGTTTCACTGGCCTGTTCCCTCTTCCACACCACTGTTTTGGCTGCTGCTCTCTTGGAATCTTCATTAACTTCCAGTGGCTCCCGGTGCTGGTTTGCTACATCCTCCTGGTCCCGGCCTATCGTGATAGACTCACGGGAACGCCATTTGGAAGTGACACATGTAAGTGATGTCTCAGTGTTGCCCACCAGAGGGAAGGAATTGATCAGTATGAGGTCCAGTGCCGCTCCTACTTTACCTAAAAAAAACCAAAACACATCAAATGGAAAAATATTTTACTGCAGAATTTGATGTGGCCAATCAAATCACCAGGTAAGCTGTGTCACCCAGTGCTCAGGGCTTCTCTGGATGTTGCCGTGCACAACTTTCGTGCAAAATTGGATGAACACAGATTAAGTATTCTGTTTCAATGACTTGAGGATTAATTTTTTATGACACAAACAGATGGAATTTGCTCTTCTTAGAAAAGGCAGTGCGTCTTGCAAACACATTGAATTTCTTTCAAGAGGTGTTGTAGAAGGCCAAGGAAAACCATAGATTACCAAAGCAGATTGATCCGTGTATAGTTAGACATGCACATAAATGCCTCAAGTATGGTGCTTTTCTGGCAACAGAATTGGTGGATGATAAGATTGTCAGTTTAATAGTGTTTCTTCAATCTCCCTTACATGGATTTAGTACACATGAACTGATGTAAAGCAGGTATGACATCAGTTATAGGAGATGGTAGTACTTTGAACACTTGCAGTATTTTTTTGCAGCTGTTTTATGAATTTGGACTAATGATTTCACAGTCAATCACGTTAAATATTTGAAGCCCTAACAGACACTGACAAGGCCCATGGCACAAAGCGACTTATGCAAAAACAAAGAGCAAGTTGGCATCGCTAGTTAAATGAGGTCAGGTTTAAATCACTCAAAATTGCTTCTTTTGATCAATAGGACTGCCAGAAATACACAGAGGTGAAAGTTTCTTTGAAAATGAGAGATGCAAGCCTAATTAAAATATCTTCTAGCAGAGTGTCACAGTTTTAGCTGTTCAAATGTGCATAGTTGGAGGGAAATTCAGCTCTCCTATAATGAATAATTGGCAAATAATAGGCGTTTCCCTTTATTTTTTAAGTTCAGGGTAAGGAGAAGGGAAATACTAACATTTTTTCCAGCTGAAACAGGAAGAATAATTGATTTCTTTTATTCATCACATCTATTTTCCTGATTTTGATACAAGTATATTTTGTATTTACATAGAGAGACCTAATATTTAGTGCCGGTCAGCTTGCAAATGTTCTCTGATGGGAAGGAAGGGGTATAGTCTTAGATAAGGAAGGTCAAAAGGTCGCAGTGCTGACTGCAGTCTTTGCGTGTGTCTGTGCAGTGCTCTGGGCCAAGGGAGGAGGTCCTCCTCTGCTTTCAATGCAAGCAACCACTCTGGGGACTGAAGTATCTTGACAGCCCATTGACACTCACCACACCCAACCAGTCTTCCACAGCCTCCACCCTTTCATGTGCCAGCCCAGATAATTTGCAGTTACATAATGGAGAAATGAAACCTTCTGGAAACGTTGCGACCAACATTAAAGCAAATATTGCATAAACGTGCAGGTCAGTAAAGTCAGTTCATCCTGCTGCACATTGCAAACGTGAATCCTTTGAACAAAGTTAAATAGGTATGTGATAGAAATGAGGCCAATTCACACATTCATTTTATGGGACATTTGTCTCAAGGCCCTTAGTTTTGTATGAGAAACATTTCTGTGTTTGAGAAACACAGTGTGCTTTTACTGTGGATCTGATGCATCAGCCAAAGGCCAATATAGCTCAACAATCACCAGCACTGAGAGAAGCTTCAGTTTAGATCAAGCAAAGCTCACATGCCAGGTAGAGATATTCTTAAAATCACAAACTGCAAGATCCTGGTTTCTGCAAACTTTTGCGAAACTCAGAATCAAATCTGGATTCAAATTCTGTGACTTGACATGACTTTCTGCACTGAGGTCAGGCCCAGTGTTAGAAAGCAGAAGTGAAATATTTTTCTGCCTGGCATCCACAGGGCACAGAGCTACAGCTGCCTTTCCAATACAAATGTGTGAGCCCAAGGGCTGGTGTCCTGCAGAGGACAGCTGGTCATACAGGACTCCAGTTCCATTTTCCCTAGTATTTCTGCATTCCTCTGACTTCCACCAAAGATTGAAAGGTGAAAATAACACGTCTTTCCTCCCCTGAATCTCAGCCTTTTGATACAATGAGAAAAAGCAGTAGGAGAAGCCTGAATTTTGAGGACCAGCTTTCATGCTGCCTTTGATCCATATGCAAAGCAACATTCTACCAAAACTGGGGTATTTGCTGCATAGTATTTTCCTTGTAGTAAATTCATGCAATAAAGGTGTAGAACAAGTAGACATACTGTTTTTTTAAATTTGAGAGTATTCTAGGTGAATCAAAATCTATCCACCAGTGAATGGATAGTGTTCTGATTCACTGTCTAAAGATAGGTGGCTGTTTGTCATATTAAACACTGCAGGGTAGCCCATACACCTCAATGAGGCAGATGTAACACAGATGGAGTTTCTTCCCAGAGAAACATAAGAATTTTTTGCCTCTAAAAGGATTTTATATCTATGTGTAAGTATAGAATTATATGTCAAACATGACTTTGAAGCTAAGGTTTCATAGCTGGAATATATTGCAAGCAGAAATATAAATAGTGAAAGTTTTGCACTAAGAAAAACTATGATTGAGATATAATTTGAAAAAGAAAAATAAGGCATTTTATCAATATAAGGCCTTGGAGGTGATAGCAATATTTTCTTTGACTCCACTGGGTGGGGATTCATGCAGCATCTCTTTATGAGAATGCAATTTCAAATAAAAAAACTGCTCTTGCTAGAAAGGAACTTTTCTAGTCTGGCAAAATTTAGGTCAATCATGTCCTAGATGCTAATGAAGGTTTTGAGTATGTAAGAACCAAATAAGGCAACAGAATTTAGCTTTGAGAAAATCACAAAAAATAGAGAGAGGAAGCAGCTATCTCAGCAGCAGGGACAATCCTTGTGCTGCCTTGAAAAAGTCCTTTCACTCCTGCCCTGGTTCTTGAAAAGCAGCCCTTATCAGGAAGGCAATTTGCTGTGTGTGCAAATGGATTTTGAGAAGAGAAAGAGCTTGCAGAAGGCCAATGCTGTAAATGGGAAACACCATGCAAAGAAGACCCATTGCCAAGTATTTATGACACATCACTCACTGTGCTGCAGTGCTTTGAGTCTTTCCAGCACAGTGAAAATGGCATCCTCTATAGAGGTTTAAATAACAAGCTCACTGACTGTAGCCCAGACAGCAAAATAAACGGAGGGAAACCCTTACAGTTCCTCTTGGCCCACTCCAAATTACAGGATTGTCCTCTCTCTTGCTGGGTGATAGCTGTGTCTTTGACAGCTTTTCTAGTACACATTTCTGCTGCCCAGAGAGCCAGTTGTATCCTGTGCTGCATCCAAAGCAGCGCAGCCAGCAGGGCAAGGGAGGGGATTCTGCCCCTCTGGTCTGGTGAGAGGGGAACCCTCCATCCAGCTCTGGGGTCCCGACACAGGAAGGACATCGACCTGTAGAAGCAGGTCCATGAGAGGCTATCTAGGTGATTGGAGAGATGCTGGAGCACCTCTCCAATGAGGAAAGACTGAGAGTTGGGATTGTTCAGCATGGGAAGAGATGACTCCAGGGAGACCTTACAGCACCTTCCACTTCCTACAGGGGCTACAAGAAAGTTGGAGAGGGACTTTTGTCAAGGGCATGTAGTGACAGAATAAGGGGTAATGACTTGAAACAACAGGAGGGTCAATTTAGATTAGATATAAGGAAGGAATTTTTCACAATGAGGGAGGTGAACCTCTAGAACAGGTTACCCAGAGAAACTGTTGATGCCTCATCCCTGGAAGTGTTCAAAGCCAGGCTGGATGGAGCAGCCTGGTCTAAATGAAGGTGTCCCTGTCCATAGGGGTGAGATTGGAACTAGATGACCCTAAAAAGGTCCCTTCAGCTCAAATTATTTTTTGATTCTATGATATTGATCTGGGGAAATTGTGCTAAACAGAGAATAAATTTGTCATGCTGTGTCTGTAGGCCCTGTGTGTTTTTATTCCCTACCAAAATGCCATTCATACAGGCACAGTCATCATATTTTCTGTGCTGCATTGCACCAGCAAAACTCAGCTAGGATCAGCTGAAAAAAATAGTTCTCAGAAATTCCCTAGAACACATCCCAGACATAGTTCTACTCAAAGAGCAAGCAAGTCCTTGATAAAGATTAAAATATCACTGCTCTAGATCATTATTGGTGCTAAATACTAGGGTTCATGGATAAATGTGGCAATCTTGAGCTGAGATAGTTTGATGCCATAGATCACAGAATCACAGAATCACAGAAGTTCAAGGCTGGAAGAGACCTATAAGATCATCAAGTCCAACCCATGTTCTGACTATTCAACTAGATCATGGCAGCAAGTGCCACATCCAGTCTTTTTTTGAACTCCTCGAGGGATGATGACTCCACCACCTCACTGGGTAGATGATTCCAGTATCTGACTACTCTTTCTGTAAAATACTTCCTTCTTAATTCTAACTTGCATCTCATACAGATGAGTACATACAGCAACTCTTAGTTCAACAAAGTTAACAAACCAATAAAAGTCTTGATTTGTCCTTTCCTCTGACAGTCCCTGCCCATATACTTCCACTGTTAACCCTTGTCTTGTCTCCAGGAAAACATGGGAAAATTCTAGGCCCCTCCTATCTAGTGTGAGGCCTTTGCAAAGTTGTCTGTTATTTGGAAAAAATGTTCAACACAATGGCTTATGCTCCTCTTCCACAACAAGCAGCCAGAGTTGTGAGCTCCATCACAGGGTACCACACGGTAACCACACCTCACTGTCCTTCAAAGTTCATATAATATGGATAGAAGTTGTATTTGCAAAGGGTATTGAGAATTCAAAGATCTGAGGAAGGCTTTAGTTTTTAATAATGATTGGTAACAGAAGCAAAGAAATTGTTTAGACATTACACACCTAAAGATATATTTATTTCCTTATATTTGTAGAACTTTATAACTTTATAACTTTATAACGTTATAACTGATTGCTCGAAATTACTATAAGGAGGAAGTCTTCCTCCTGGTATTTGGAGTGTAACAGATCAAGGTGAAGATCTGTTGTAGAGGTAAGCAGAAAGATTAATACTTTTAAAATACTAGTT